CTGTCACCCAGGCTGGAGTGCAGTGGCACGATCTCAGCTCACTGCAACCTCCACCTCCCAGGTTCAAGCGATTCTCCTGCCTTAGCCTCCGGAGTAGCTGGGATTACAGGTGCCTGCTACCACACCCGGCTAATTTTTGTAGTTTTAGTAGAGACATGTTGACTAGGCTGGTCTCGAACTCCTAACCTCAAGTGATCTGCCCACTTTGACCTCCCAACATGCTGGGATTACAGGTGTGAGCCACTGTGCCCGGCCTACACTGGCCCTTCTAGTGAATGTTTGGGTTCAGGGTGCATGAAGCAGCAGAATGCTGGTGGACACCACCTCAGCTTGCAGGCTGCTCTGGGTTTGATAGTCAGTGGGGCTCTGTCCACAGGAAGGACAGCAAAAGAAGGAGCTTTTGGTTTTTGACTCTGAAATTGGACAGGCTGGTCAGGATACAAATTCTGGCTTCCCCCACTTACCAGCTGGGTGACCTTAGGCAAGTCGCTTCATGTCTTTGGACCCTAACTACCTTCTTTGGTTATCCTGAAGATCAAACAGGATGATGGGAATGAGTGTTTTCTAAGGCTGTGTGCAGATGTTTAGTGTTAAATGCTAAGTGCAGAGGGACGCAGATATGGGGCCATTGAGATAGGTGGGGGCAATCAAGGAAGGGGGGTTGTGAGGGCCATGGATCATCGGGTGCAGTCCATCACGGAGGCCTGACTAAGAAATGTGGCTGGGCTCCGTGGCTGGGGCTTTTGTGGTCTGAAGGAGGTGAGCATCTTGCTGAGGCTGTTTCGAGAGGGACCCGTTGTTAACAATTAGGTGGTGAACTCCGTGATGGCAGCTTCTTTTATCCACTGGCCAGGTGCGAATGCTGCCCAACATACCAGGAGGAGGGGACAGGTAGGGTGCAGCTCAGCCACATTGCCCCTAACCTGCCCTGCTCCCTCCCTGCAGCCCTCATCTCCTCGTCCTCCAGGCAGCACAAGCCATTGTGGAATCTCCATCGGGTGTACAGAACGGTGCCTGTGCATCCTGCTGCTCAGGACCTCTCAAGTCCCCGATGTGATGGCTCCTCAGCATCATCAGGAGTGAGCATAATTCAGACCTATTTAGATCCATCAGCCTATGGGCCAGGGGGACCTTCAGCAGGACAGTCTTTTGTCTCCAAGCAGTCATTCCTTGTTATACAAGCAAGAGTCAGGAGGAGGAATGGTTTTGGCATCATCCCCCACAGACAGCAATGGGGCCTTTAGGCCTGGAGGGAAGGACCAGGCTGAGGCTGGCATATGGAGGTTGAGCCCTGGGCACGGGGCATCAGCTTCACCCGGCTGGGGATGCCTTCTGCTGGGTTTGTCCATCTGGCACCAGCTGGCTTCCCAGCACCGCCCCCACAACCAACCAGACTCCTTCTTCTGCTGTTGCCATGACAATTGGCTGCCATATTGTACCTCAGAGCACTAGCTCCTATCTGGATTTTCCTGTGGGGTTCCTAGAGGGTGGGAGATGGGTCTCCAGGGATTTATCCCTTTCTCTTGATATCCATCCAATAAAAATTCATAATAACATGATTTTTTAAAATAGTCTAAGTGGAGGATTACTATGTGTCAGGCTCTGTGCCAGACACTACATGTTATTTAATGTGGCTAAGAAAGAATTAATGAGATAGAATTCAAGAGGTTCCCATCCAGTTTCCTGCTACTACGACAGACTTTTTCTCTCTCCAACCAGGAAATTCCATGATCTTGCTTATTCCTGTCTTGGGAAGTCCTTCTCCATGTCTAACCAAGATCTATACGGCTATAGCACCAACTCTTTGGTTTTTGGCTTGGCATGGCTGAGTTGAGAGGTAAGGAAGGAATGCCACCTAGCTTTAGTGACTTCATAAAGGTTCCTGGGCCGGGTGTGGTGGCTCATGCCTGTAATCCCAGCACTTTGGGAGGCCGAGGTGGGCGGATCACGAGGTCAGGAGATTGAGACCATCCTGGCTAACACGGTGAAACCCCGTCTCTACTAAAAATACAAAAAATTAGCTGGGCGTGGTGGCGGGCGCCTGTAGTCCCAGCTACTCGGAGGCTGAGGCAGGAGAATGGTGTGAACCCGGGAGACGGAGCTTGCAGTGAGCCGAGATCGCGCCACTGCACTCCAGCCTGGGCGACAGAGTGAGACTCTGTCTCAAAAAAAAAAAAAAAAAGGGTTCCTGGACTCCAGCTATTAGAATTGGGAAACTGAGACTTGCCTAGCTTGGTGAGAGGTCTGAGTGCCCCTTAAAGTCTTGGGAGCCCCCACCCAAACCTTCTCTTTACAGAAGAGGAGTAAATGCCACATAATGCTTTGAAATTCCCCCTCTGTGCCCCCATCAGCACCCCAGAAAGAGTCAGGAGCCGGAGACCATGGAATAGCAATAGTCTCCTAGGCCCTCTGGGCTCCCCCTTTGGAAGCCAGTCTCCCAGCTCCTGCCTTGCGGGGAACGTTCCAACAGGGCCTCAGATCCTGGGATAGTGAGAGTTCCCTCCTTCTGGACCCCAACTGGAAGGCAGAGAATGGTCACTTTGACCTCGAGGGACATCTATAAGGGGCACTAAGCAGAGGCTAGCTTTGCTGAGGGAATCCTGAATGAGGAGCAGGTGGAGAGAAAAAGGAGGCCATTCTCAACTGAGGAAGGGTGGGCTGGGAGGGAGGGGCTGGGGATAATTTATGATATCATTGTTCCCCCACCCCACTTACTTCCCAGCTACTGTACTGTTGCTAGGAGAGCTTGGCTCTGTCTGGGGCTGGGAGGGTGTAACAGGCGGGAGGCTGTTCCATCTGCACTCCTCCTTCCCCACCCAGGGGAGGGCACCGCATGGAGCTGCATCCACCACCCCTTCCCAGGCCCTGACAGACACCAGTCTCTTCTGTCGTTCCCCCAAATCTAGCCACTCAAGGAATAGCAGGACTCCCAGGTGGGCTGAGGATCCAGAGCAAGGAATGGGCAAGGGAGTATGGAAGGAGAGACACTGGCAGACTTAGAGGGGCACTCAGGAACAGCTGGCCCACCTCGAGACCTGGGAGCCAGCCCGGGCCAGGAAGAGGGCCAGAGGGAGTCAGGGAAACAGTCCTGGCAGAGCCCAGGTTTGGAGAAGACAGAGTCCTTACATTTGAGGGGTTCCTGATGCGATGGGCAAGGCGGACCTCTCATCCCCACTCCTCCACACTGTCAAGATCCAGGTTGGAGAGCTGGCAAAGGTAGGGGAAGGAGGAGCTGGGGCAGGGAGGAGGGAGGTGAGCTGGGAGAGGCTGAGGAGAGTCTAGGAAGAAGAAAGGCCGCACTGGTCTAAGTGGAGCTGGGCCATGCCTGGCCATGGCTGAGATCCCCTCCTCTTTCTGAAATTCTCTTCTCAGATCTTAAGGCTCTTGGAGAAGTCAAGGGAGGTGAACTTTGGGGGTTTCCAAAGCTGCTGGCTCCCAACCCTGGATGGGGCAGGAAAGGAAGGCTGTGCCCACAGCTGTGCCTGACACCTGATTCCTGCGCAGCCCCTACTGGGTTTATTTGCCTTTCCTGGACATAGCTTCCCCACCCCAGAAAGGAAGGAGCTGACCCTGATTTGTGCCCATTTGGTTGTGCAAGCCCCTCCGTAGCCATTATCTCAGCTAATCTTCCCAACAGCCCTGAAAACCAGGTGATACTGTCCCCACTTTATGAAGGAGGAATCAAAGCCTCAGGAAGGCTAAGACACTTTCCCAGAGTCACAGCACTGGTACGTTGGGCTGGGCTTCAAGTGGGGCTTCGTAGACCCCAAAGCATATGTGCCCTTCCCCCGCTGTGCTGACTTCTGAAACACAAGTGGAGGGACTGAGAGAAGAGAGGACCAGATAGGTGGAATTCTTGGCATGTTCTCCAGTGTAGGCGTAAAGTCTGAGAGATGATAAACATCTTGCAGGTTGAAGACAGGATTGGGGAAGAGGCCATGGGAGCTGTGGAAGTGACCAAAAGTCTACTGGGCTGATTCTTAGCCCAAGTGCAGCCTGCTCCCTGCCTTCCTGAAGCAAGTCCCCTGGGCTCCCTGCCTAATCTCTCCTGTTCTTGGGATCTGAGTTTCCGCCTTAGGCATTTCCCTCATCCCCCCATTGCCTTGGATAGAGCACCTGGAAGAGGTGCCTAGACTCAAGCCACTGTCATGGCGGATCCCTTTGTGATGACCCCTTCCCTAGCTCCTCACCTTGGCTGATGGACGTGAGCTCCTTCCAAGACCGCTGGAAGTTTGTCCTCTGCCCCCTCCTAAAGTCTCCATCCAAAGAGTAGTTTTTGGCCGGGCATGGTAGCTCACGCCTGTAATTCCAACACTTTGTGAGGCCGAGGCGGGTGGATCACTTGAGGTCAGGAGTTCGAGACCAGCCTGGCCAGCACGGCAAAACCCCGTCTCTAATTTAGCCGGGTATGGTGGCATGCGCCTGTAATCCCAGCTACTCAGAGGGTGAGGTATAAGAATTGCTTGAACCTGGGAGGCAGAGGCTGCAGTGAGCCAAGATCATGCCACTGCACTCCATCCTGGGTGACAGAATGAGACTGCATCTCAAAAAAAAAAAAAAAAAGTATTTTTCTTTACGCTTGACAATTTTCTTTTCAGACCAAAAAGAAGCATGTACTTCATCCAGTTGGACTGGATTCCCTCTGAGAAGCCTTCCCAATTGACTAAAAGATGAGGCTAGGCTCTAGCAAGTTGAAGTGGAGAACCAGCTCCTTCAAGAAGCTTTCAGCAGAATGGAAGTGGGGAGGACCCAGATTCCAGCCCAGGCAGCCCGTTGTACCTTGAGCCATCTGGGATAAGACTTTGACCCATGACTCCCATATCCACAACCTGTCCATCCTGGCCCTTCCCAGTTTATCCTGTGTCATTTGAACTGGGATTCCCACATCCTCTGAGATGGAAGTCCCATCTCAAGTCTTCAATAAAGACTCTTGAATATTGAATCACATTAATAGTGGTTGTGGATATACCTGGACAGGGTTGGAAGGGGAGGGGCTGCAAGAGAGGGGGCAATACTGGGCTCCCTCCAACAGAGATCGGTGATACAGAAGCCAACCTTGCAACAGAAGTGGGGGAGCCTCTAATACCAGAACTCCTACCTGGTAGGGTGTGGGGCGGTGAGTGAACATCTTGGCTCCTTCCACCGCCCTCAGCCACCCCAAGGCCAGAACTCCATCCATAATCCGGTCAGTCCCAAGTCCAAGTCATGGGCTAATGCTTCCAGCCAAGGAAGCACCTAGGTGCCATACTAGGGACCAAGAGAATGGGAGAGGGTCGTGACGCTCCCCCACAGTGCCTGTGTAGGAGGTTACTGGGTGGCCTTCTGTCTCCTCCACAAAAGGACTCTCATAAATGTCCTCCTGGGTTTGAACAGACCACATAGAGGGAGCACCCCTCCCCCAAAAGGGTCTTCCATTCCTGCTGCTTCTCTGTCCACCCTCAGAGGAAACATAAGGGAATGAATATGATTATTAAGAGGAATTCAGATTAGACAGCAGGTAGGACTTCCCAACAATAACAAGGCCTGAGGGGGAACCTGAGGGGGCAGAAAAGCCATAGCAAAAAACTAGGACTGTGCTCTTGACCCCATTTTCTCCATAACACATCTGTATCCAACATGCTCCCCTAAAAGACAGGCCCCTTCTCATCTCTAAAGAGCCTTGCTGGATGATGTTAGCAGAGCCCAGACTGGCAGCACCATTTAAGCTCTCCATCACCTTCCAGAAAATCCTCCCTCCCTTCCATAATCCCTCCATGGAACTATGAATCCTGGAAATTGTCTAAATGAAAAAGCTTAAGATAACACACATGACACAATTCTAACAGCACAAAAGGGAAATTACATCTCCTTCCTACCCGTGTCCCCAGCCACCCACCTCCTCTCCCAAGAGGCAACAACTGGTACCTATGTCCTTCTCGGGCTACTCCATAGACACCCAAGCACATGTGTATAAATTCCTCCTTTCCATTTAAACACTGACTGCAGCCTTTTTAGCTCTTCTAGACCAGGACTTCTAGCCCGAGGTCAATCTGGACCTCAGGGGATGCTTGCAAATACTAAAATTGCATGCAGAATGCTGGCCAGGCGCCTGGGCACTATTTGCAGGAGGAGGGCTAACATAATGAGCCACCTGGTTTAGCCCAGTTCCTCATTTTATAGAGGAAACTGAGGCCAGAGAAGAGAAGGGCTATGTCCAGGGTCCTCAGCATGGTGGGGGCCTATCAGGAGAAGAATCCCAGGCTCCCCCTGACCTATATGTCCAGGAGCCCTAGAACTGGGACTTGGAGGGCTGACTGAGACTGAGGATGCTGCTGGGAGGAGGAGGCAGTTTCCTTTGCATCATCGTCTGGCGTATCTAAGGGGCTGAGCTCAGTCTCACCACGCCTGGGAGCTCATCAGTGCTTCTGAGGTTCCAGCCCTCATTTCGGGGCCCTCCCACCTCCTAGCCTTGCCAGGACCCACTGTGGCCCTGGGGAGGTGGGGTGAATGGAGGCAGGATCTGGCTTGGGGTCGATCCGATCCATATGAAAGAAGTTTCTCAGGTCTGCCCGCCCCTCCCCTGCTTTTGTTTGTACCCCACAACCTGAGCATCAGTCTTCATGGTTCCCTTACCATAGTGTTGGGGGGCCTAAGCAGGGAGAGGCAGCCAGCCACTGTGGCCAACCCTCTGTCTCCTCTCCTGGCCTCTGGCTTGGAGGGGAGGCTCCCAGTGGGGGAGCTGGGGCAGGCAGGAGGAGGTGGGTGGAAAGGACTCCTCTGAGCACAGGAAAGAAAAGCAAGCAGGAGAGGGCCCCAGAGGGTGGGCTGCCTTTTGGAAACAGAATGACCCAGACCCAGACAGGGGCAGAAGGGGCGGGGAAGGGCCCCTGCCTGGACAGAGATGTCAGGACTGGGGTGGGAGGACCCAGGCAGGACACTTTGGAATGTGCTCTCAGAGTCCCACTGAGCATATGCAGATGAGGCCTGTCTGTATGCAAATGAGCCTGTCTGTATGCAGATGAGGAGAGAGGGCATTCTCTTCTCAGGGTTACCATAGAGCCCACCTCCTCCCCTTCGCTCTGGGCTCCAGCTGCAGGGCAGCCTGGGAAGAGTCCAGGCCCACGGAGAGACAACCTGCAATAGAAGGTTAGACTTCAGGAAGGACTTACCAAAAAAAATGGCTAGTTCTGGGAAAGGAACTGGAGGTGAAATAGGGAATATAGAGAGGCTGTGAGAGAGCCAGGTAAAAAAAGATGGGGGTGGACCACGAAAGGACATCTCAGCCACAGGAAAACACAGGCAAACTCACAGAAAGCTTTGAGAGGGAGGCTGGGGAAGAAGAGGAAAGGAGCGGCGACTGAGCAGCCACTCCCTGCTGAGTCCCGCACAGAACGCCTTCCACTCAGTCTCACCGGATCCCAGCGATAACCTTGTGAGGCCTTTTGCAGAGGAGGCCTAGAGAAGCGGAGAGACTCACCCACATCACACAGTTTGCAAGTGGCAAGGCCCTGGCCTGTCTGACTCTATGGCAGGCAGCCACAGCTTAGACCCTTCCCACTGCTTCCTGGCAGACACTGAACAGCTCTTCCTACCTGAGGGGAGAGGAGGGGCACTAGGGGTTGGAGAGCCATGCCTTGAACAGGGGCCTGATATACCCTGAGGGGAGGTCCAGTTGGGTCTCAGCCAAGGTAGGGCCTGCAGAGGGCTGAGAATTGCCAGTGCAGTGCCAGAGAAGGCTACTGGGGGAACTTGGGTGGGCCGCAACCAAGAGGAGACCATCCTGGCTGGGAAAGATGCCAGGGATGATCCAGTGGGGGAAACTGAGACCCAGAGAGGTTAAACCAGTTGCCCCCTCACTCAGCAGGTCCAGGTAGAAGCTAGGCCTAAACTCTAGCCCCTGGGCCTCTAGCCCCTTCCTAGGAGTGCAGAGGCCAGAGGTGGAGGGGTCTCTGAGAACAGCCTCTCCTCTTCCTCGGGTGGCCCCTGGCCCCCACACATCCAGTGGCGCAGCCAAGGCCTTTGTGGAGAAGCTGTGGGGAAGAGAGGCCCCTTGTTGGCCCATTCATCGTGCCGGAGGCTCGGCTGATGCCAGCCCCCGGCACCGGCTGGGCTCTCCTTCCTGGGGGTGCCAGCCAGCCCCCACCCGCTGCCACAGCCAGCTCCCCAGCTCTGTCGTTTCCTGGAGCCTCGGGGTTTGGCCGTGGTCCCGGCTGAAGGATGGCGGGGAGCCCCAGCCCCCGCGCCCCCCGCACCTCGCCTTTCACACGCTGGCACCAGAGCCGTGGGAACGCTGGACGGCAGCTGGGCACCGGTGCCCGGCTCTGCCCACCCCCAGACCAGCCAACCTCAGAGAAGGGGAGAGGAACAGGCTGCCCCCAAAAAAAGCCCCTCCAGGATGGGGCCGTAGAAATACTTAGCACTAATTATGAATCTGGGGACAAACAAGGCATTTGCAAGTCAATTAGTGACAGAACTTTCCCAGGAAAGAGGTTCATCCAGGCTCAGCTTCAGACAGGGCCACATGCTGGGTCATCTTGTCCCTCCCCCTGCCTCTGCCCTGCTCGAAGCTCCAGGGATACAGACCGACCCCATGTTCTGCCAGCCCCTATGTGGCTGAGGGTGCCAGGGTCCTGAGCGAGCCTGGGGGGGTGGTGGGAGGGAAAGGCTGAGCCCTCCTGAGGTCAGCTGGAGGTCAAAATAGGGCTGTCACCAGGAGACATTCTGCCAAGGCTCTGGCCTCAATTCCACCTGTGACAGAACCTGGTGGCTCCTGGAAGGAGATGCCAAAGAGTCCACTGGCCCAGACAGGGTGGCCCGAGTGGGCTGACAGGGAAATAGAAGTCATTGTAAAAGGGCCAGTGGGAGATGCTTCCCAGATAACACAAAGAAACCAGGAGAAGAGGAGACCAAGGGGGAAGACAAAGAGTCTTCAGGCATCTCAGCAATTGTCCCCAGGCCAGGAGGCACACTGTGGGAATTTCAGCTCTGCCTGCAGGGGAGCCTCCAGGTAGACCAGCACGGATATCTGGGGCCACTGCCCATGGAGAAAGAGACAGAGCAACAGATCTTGCTCCTCCTGGGACAGAGAGGCCTTTAGTTGGGAAAGGGCCTCTCTACCAAGAGAACCCCTTAACTGGGGAAAGAGAGAGAAGGAAAGGGGCTGTGTAGGGCAAAAGCCCTAGAGCCAGCCCCACCATCTGAGGGAGATTAAGGGATTATTATTAAATGGTGTTTGAGGGGCTCCAAGCAGGTGGGTTGGGGCTGGTGCTAATGATCTAATTGCTGCTTCACCAGGGCTTCCGCCGGGGCCTGGCTGCTGGGGCTCTGTAATGAGTCGGGCGTTTTTTTAAGGGAGGTGGAAGAGAAGAGGCGGAGCTGAAGGGCCAGGAGGGGAAGTCTTTTTCTTCACTTTGAGCGCTCAGCACACGTGCTCACATGCTCTGGCCAGTCCTTCCCTTAACGCCCTCCCTGGAAAACCAAGATGAAGCCTGCAGCCTAACGGAGTCATGGGAGGCCTGGAGAAGACTTCTGGGAGCCGGGAGTGAGCAAAGAGGGTGCTTAGATCCCCACAGAGAGAGGACACTGAGACAGGGGATGGTACGGGAAAGAGAGGTGTCCTTGGAATAATTAGGGCAGATGTTGGAAGTAAATGCTCGGTGCCACAAAGTGAAAATAGCACTCAGGCAAATGTTTTCTCAACAAGGCAATTTACTTCTATAGCAGGGTGCGTCTCGAGGATGGAGCAATGACGAGAGCACACCAGACAAGGGAGGAGAAGGGGGTCTTATTCCTAATGCAGCTAGTCCCTACTGCTATATCTTTTCCCTATTGGCTAGGGTTGGGCCGCATAGTCTAAACTAATTCTGATTGGCTATTTTAAAGAGAGCGAGGGTACGAGCTGGAGTGGCGGGGTGAGTAGTTTTGGTGGGAAGGACGGTTACAGAGCAGGTGACTAAAGATGACTAAGG